CATCTCTGAAATATGCCATCTGCTTATTGTCAGACCTGAATGAATCATCACATTCTGGTTCTCTTTGTCTCCACCTCTTAAATGAGGGCCATACTTCCTAGGTCTTCTTGTACCTAAGCTGTGGTGAGCTTTAATTAGCCAAAATCTATAAAGTCTTTGAAGATCTTAGGGGGAACAAAGTGTTAAATGAATCTAACGTTTTATTAAAAAGTACTATTTCTCTAGGGAGTAGTTAAATGAAATACTCTAATACAATAGTCTCATGGCAATCTTTGCTCACCTACATTAATGAATGAAGCATTTGTATAGATGATTAATATCAGCTTTGAAAACCCAGGGCTAAAAGACAGTTAATGTTTGCATTTCTGGTTTTTGTTGTTTGTGTTTGTAAACTAAAAGTTATAGTGATTGGAATGTAAAGTTCCCAGCCTTAGTAACATTTGGGTTAGATCTTTCTTCACAGACTGTAGAGTTACCACCTATTTGCTGTGAGTCCATTGGGAAGACAACTTATGCTTCTACGGGTTTGCAAGCTGAGACATTGACATTAGACCATCTAGAATTATTGTTCTGCATACATTAAGATGAAATGATGATCATTTCTCTCTTTAAGTAATTTAAATGCAGTGTTTAAACCATAACTCTGAGTCAACCAAGAGAAAGGGGCCACCCCACCACTCACACAAATACACAGAAATTCCATTGGAATATTGAGGAGGCAAGGGCTCATTATCTCAGTAAGTGTAAGTAGCATAATATAAGTAATAGCATTGCCTTTCATTTGGGTTTGCCAAGTATTTTCCCAGTATCACAACCCCACTAGGAACTAGCCAGTCAAGAAAGTACAAAGAGTTTAGGTTTTAAACTAATTTACACACTCTGTCACCTCCCATTCAACTCACTTCTAAAGTTCAGAGATACAAGGTAATGAGACAGGAAAATTTAAAAGATAGTATACATATCGCATACCCAATAAAAGTTTGTTGAATTAAATTAAATTGAATTAAACAATGACCTAACTAATCCAGATTAAGACATTCCATCCCTTAGCAGTTTCATTTTTGTTGTTGTTGATTTTGGATTCACTTCAGAGAAAAAGAACAAAGTATTCTTTTGGGAACTTATTTTTTTAAAGTCCATTTTGGTTTATTTTAAATTAAATGTGAAGCCTTAGAGGAGTTTGAAATTATGCTTCCATTGCCTTCAGCACAACAAATGACAAATCACCTGATGAGAAGTTTATCAAAACCACCAAAAAAAAATCCCCTTTCTTCATCATACTTCCTCTTTCCCCGTCTTTCCCCTTCACTGCAACATAGCACTTCTAGTCTTTATGGAAAAGACTTCTTTCTTTTGAAATAGGTTTACTAGTTTGGGCTTTCATCTTTAGTAGGAGAAGCATAAAGCATTGCATTGTTTCTAAGGCAATTATCTTAAAGAGATGAAAATTGAGTGGCCAACATCACTAGAATCAGCACTGGTAGAGAGTAAGAGATGAGGACTCAGGCCTCAGTTTCCTCATCTGTTAAACGAAGGAGTTAGAATAGAGTCTGTTCAAGCCTTAGTATTCACTGCAGTTAACTCAAGATTGTGAAATCCCCAAAGACTGAAGTTCAAAGGCCTCCTTGGGGAAAATTTTCCAGAGGAAATGCCACTTGGTATCCATGGCCACCACACTTCTAGAAGGAAATGCATTGAGGGTATTGTTTCTCATAAGAAAGAAGACTGTGGGACTTGAGAAATTCCAAAGAGATTTTCAGACATGTCTGCACACTTAGCTTTTTTTTTCTTTTTTAAGTGTAGGGTAGCGTTTTTTGGTTACTATGAGATTTTTTGTAGTGCCATTGACCAATGGTTCACTATGTAATAACTAATTTACGGTTTGGCTGAAATGTTCACATTTCAACTGATTAGATGACATTGTGTGGACATAACCTTAGACCTGGCTAATTAAGATTTGCTTTATACAAACAACTGAATTTTTTAGTTGTAAAACAACTTGTTTTATTATGTAAGAATCTTAGGCTGTAGGAAGTGGAGTACACCTTAGAGATTTAGTCTGCTCCCATCATTCTCTAGTTGAGGAAACTGTCAAGAAGGGGAAATAGAAGTTAGATTTTCTTTCATACCCATTTTATATTGACTTTGTAGGTGACTCTGGCAGCACATCTTAGGTTTCTGTGACTCTAATAGGCAATTCTTATATCCACAAAACTGTCAGATTTTTTTCAAGTCCTTACTTTAGAAAAATTCTCCATAGTGGGGTGTTTTAGTTGAAACTTCCTGATATTTAATTTTGATAATTCTATCTACCCATAGCATTTTGAAAGATGAAATGGGATCACATTTTTAAGATGTCTAATAGAAAGCATGAGAGCTTCCCGGGTGGCTCAGTGATAAAGATTCCACCTCCTAATGCAGGAGACGTGAGTTTGACCCCTGGGTTGAGAAGATCCTTTGGAGAAGGAAATGGCAATCTATTCCAGTATTCTTGCCTGGGAAATCCCATGTACAGAGGAGCCTGGTGGACTACAGTCCATGGGGTCGCAAGGGAGTCAGACATGACTTAACAACTACAGCAACCTCAACATCCCTAGTAGACACAAACATACATTGAGGTCCCTCTTTCTTGCAGCCCACCCATGCCCTATAAAGTGCAAATGAGTGTGTTCTTTCCCTACCTTCAGTTGAAACCACAAGAGATCGTCTAGCTCTTAACATCAGCACAAAAACAGCAGCAAATGTTTAGAAAAATGTTGCAATGATAGTAGGCAGAGAAATGCATTTGTAAATTGATTGCATTTCTCAGATATCTTGGGGCTTCCTCTTGCCCTTTTTTGGTGTGTGTGCACTGATTATGGTTTGCACAAAATTTAGCATATGTTTTTTGACTCACGTGAAGTATGAGATAGTTAATAGAGGAATCTCAAAATGTTTATGGTAAACACTCAAAACATTTTTAATTTGTCAAACTACACCCTTCATTATACTATGGCAATTCTCCTTTTCTTGTCCCTGATAGCACCTTAGACATATTGTATGATATACCATTCAATTACAGTTGTTAAAAATGTGTCCAGACTTAATTAAAGTTTCAATCTCATATTCAATTCAATGCTCTTTCCATCTTCATCGCAGCCTAGATTTCTGAAGTAAAGAGTCTGGAGTAGAGAAGAAGGCATGGCGTGGCACTGGGCAGCCTCTCCCTCTTCAAAGTTTAGTTCATTTGATTTGTCTACAGTAAAAAGGAAAACAGAAGGGGAAGAAGTAACTTCAGTACAATGCTCTCTCCATGAGGTTGACTGTCCCTACCCTCCTTTCATCTTCAGTCATTTTTTTATATCGACTCTGGGAGGAGAAGTTGTAGTGGCAATTGTTCATAAGAGGCCCAGTTTTGTCCCTACTAATACACCTGACTCCAACCGTCAGAACTTAATAGCAGCTATCTAGGGGCTGAAGTGTATGTTACAGTCTAAGCTTTGAGCCTCAGCTGCAATTGTGGATAACAAAAAGTCCTTCTCATACAATATCCTATTTGAGCAACAAAGTAATTCTTGAGACAAATTTGTATTTGTATATGTACCCTCTGTGTGTCTATGTGTGTTCGCAGCAGATTATCTGTAGGATTAAAGATTATAACTGAAAATTCTTGATGAGATTTTGTCCTATTGTGTAAGAAAGGAAGTATAAGAGCTGGACATTCATTGGGTTTCCCGAGCAGAGTATTTCCTATAGTTCTTAACCTTTGATGTTCAATCTGTCTCTGTCTGTCTTTGCCTCCCTTTCTCTCTCTCTCAAACATAAACACCAAAAATTCTTCCTTCCATAGTATTATGGAAAATAATACTACTATGCATTGTGAAAATAATACTACTATGCATTGTGAAAAGACCACAGCCACTGGTTTTCAAAGATGCAGCAGTAACATAAAGTTCATTGAATTTAGAGGGAATTCTGGGACCACATTTGGTAACTTCCCACTCTTCTCCCAATTTTGGCTACTTAAACTAGGTTGCTTTACCATAATGAATGAGAGGCTTAATACCCACCTCTTCGACTGAACTGAGCTGAACTGAACTTATCTTTGAATAGATATTTGCATTTTACATTTAAAACATGGGGCAGACAGACACTGAAAATCAAGAGAATAGCCATATTTAGTTACTGATGTGGCAGGCATCAAATTCACAACAATACTAAATGATCTTGGGCAACAAAATATTACTGATAGATTCAAGGAGAACATTGATTTAAGAAAATTTTTATGTTGTTTTATTTTAGGAGAGCAAAACATTCAGAGAAAGGTGTGTTTAAGAAGTAATTTGAACCTAGAACTTGATCTAACATATCCTCCTCTCTGCCATATTGAATTCAATTCAAACCAGCAAATATTTACTAAAGCCTACTATGTGCAAGGCTATATTGTTTTAATCTCTGGGGAAAGTAAGTAAGTGAAGTAGCTTTGTCCTGTCCAACTCTTTGTGACCCCTTGGACTGCAGCCTACCAGGCTTCTCCATCCATGGGATTTTCCCAGCAAGAATACTGGAGTGGGCTGCCATTTCCTTCTCCAGGAGATTTTCCCGACCCAGGGATTGACCCCGGGTCTCCTGCATTGTAGGCAGACACTTTACCATCTGACCACAAAACTANGGGTGATGATTCTAATTAGATGGCGAGAGGGAATTGTTTTGATTGCCCTGAATTGCAAATGACCACTAGTTGGCTAGTGTATTCCACCACCAGTAGCACTTATGTTTACAAGTCAAACTTTTAAACCTAAAATAGGGAGGCTCCATGGTGGATTCCTAGACAATAGAACAAGAGAAGCTTTAAATCAAACTTACTGTCATTTTCCCTCTTAACATTTTACTTACCTTCATGGAGTATTTCTTCTTATCTTAAATGGCTTTCTAGAAAACAGAAAACACACACATAAAGCATTCATCTATACAGATTCTTATATCATTTCAGGTTATAAATTTGCTGATGTCAAGAATTACAAAGAATCTGAGAGCTTATTTTACTTGCAAGCTAACAAATTGATGTCAGAGTTCCATAGATGCAAGTAGAAGACACAACACTCTAAGGTCAGAGACAAAGGACAGTTTAATACTCACAGCAACAAAAGAAGCCAGATCATCAGTATTTTTGTGTTGGTTCCTTGAGCCCCAATCCCTACAAAGTGATGCAAAGAGAACCAGGTCACACTTTCAGCTCAGTGGGTTGTATTACTGAAGAGGAATCTGCTATACAGAGAGACTTGGATCTTTCACTGTAGGCAGTAAGTAATTATGCTCTTTGTTCGAGAGGGAGAATCTTTATTATGCTGAACTCATGGCTCCGCCAAACAAATTTCTCATGATTTTGCTATACCAAAGGCCCCGTGTTCAGTGACAAGTCCATCCTTCCCGATACCTTCTACTTAAACATAGGGAATCCCTTGACTCTGCAGCCACAGACATACTGTTTTCTAGCTGGAGGTGCAAGATTTGCTATCTCTGGGTAATTCAGGCTCGACCACACACAATCAACTTTTTTAGATCCATCTTACTCTGGGGAAACTGCTGGCTGTTACTAAGAAAAATCTTACATTCTTGCCCAGGTTCATTGTAAGGGTTAGCTGAAATTCTCCAGGGCAGCAATACTAACCACAAGAATTTATGTACATTTCTTTGGGTTAGTGTATCACTCTTTAGCGGGTCATCTTCAACAGTTATAAAGCCAATCAGGACAAAAAAATTCTTCCTGGAGCCTTTCTTAGGAGAACCCTCCCTTGAAAAGGCCAAAAATCCTTTTTATCAACCAGGACTGAACACACACAAACTTTGAGATATTTATTGTCTTCTCCAAATAGATTTAAGGTTGATGTGATGACAAAGTCTAAGTCATTTGATGGGTCAACAGTTGCCATTCTTCCTTAATAAGTATTATGCACCCTTCTCTCTTGAACCTGCTGGGCCAAGTTCTACCTGTATGGTCAGAATTTTCTCTTCTTTAATGTGCATGGTAGGTGTTATGTCTCTGCAACTCTTGTCTGAAAGGGAGCATACTGGGATGAATCTGGTTATTTGTTATAATGTGGGGGCCCTGAGACCGCTTGCCAGATGGGAAATGAAGTCTTCCTTCCACCCCACCCCTGCCATTCCCACTCCTGACCTGGAGGAGAGTTAGCAACAGCCAGAGCAGCATTTAGGCAGCTATCTTTGAACGGCTTCCCACATTCAGCCTTCAACCACTTTCCAAATACCTTCTTCTGGCATGCATGCTCAGTCTTGTCCAACTCTTTGCAACCCCATGGACTGTAGCCCACCAGGCTCCTCTGTTCATGGAACTTTCTAGGCAAGAATACTGGAGTGGGTTGCCATTTCTTTCTCTGGGGGATCTTCCTGACACAGGAAGTAGGCAATAAAGAGGAGAAAAACTTGCTGCCCAATACATCATTTTGGGTTAGCCAAAACATCTGTTCAGGTTTTTCCATAAGATGTAATGGAAAAACCCGAATGAACTTTGGAACAAACTATTTGACCAGCATATTCACGATGAATATGGACTTTTTTTGTATGGACTCTTTCAAGTCCCTTTAATTTGCCTATGAGACCAGCACTCTTCCTTCTTCATGTTACCATGATCGGTCAGCTTCCTATCCTCGTCTCTCAAAACTGCCAGACTCTGTGAAGGGCATGAGATTTTACCCCACCTGCAAACAACAGTGTTAGCCTGCCATAGTACCAGAGATGCAGGTAGAAGGCACTGGACTCCTAGGTCAGAGACTAAGAACAATTTGTTACCCACAGCAGCAGAAGCAGTCAGAGTGTCAGCACCTTTGTGTTAGTTTCTCTAGTGTCAGTCTGCACAGTTGATGTAAAGAGGGCTGGAGGACACCTGCATACACAGTGGGTTACATTACAGGAGAGGAATTCAGAGCTTAGGGAACCAAAGTCTTTTATAATAGTCAGTAAGCATACCTGCCCTTTGTTCCAAGGGGAGACACTATTTCCATTTTCTAAAGCTTCTAAGCAAGCCTAATCTTTGCTCTGAAGCAAGGCACTGTCTCTGTATACAAAGCCTATTTGTGATACAAGCTTCCTTGAAAAGACAGTCTGGAACAAAGGTTAATCAATGCTTCTCTTTCAAGATGTGCAGAAATACAGTAGACCCATAGAGGATAGAAGATTGTTTCCCCATACTTGGAAGGAAGGGGAAATAGTCAAACTACAAGTAGCCTTTGTTTTATGATTGTAAGGACCCAATTGAAAACAATAGCACAGGAAAGTAAGTTTGGAAATATGAACAATTGAGCTTTTGTTTCTTTTTTGATAGTTGGAAAGTGCATTTCAGTGAGCAGTATACTTAGCAGTTTATCAAATGTTGTATTAAGCTTACAGGTTTATAAAAGATACACACTGGGGTTTCTTCTGAGAGTTCTCACATCACAGTCGTCCTGAACTGTTCTCCTAATGGGAGAGACAGAAGGGAATGTCTCTCAGTCGTGTCTGATTCTTTGAGACCCCATGGTCTGTAGCCTGTCCGGCTCCTCTGCCCATGGAATTCTCCAGGCAAGAATACTGGAGTGGGTAGCTATTCCCTTCTCCAGGGGACCTTCCCAAATCAGGTATCAAATCTTTGTCTCCTGCATTGCAGGCAGGTTCTTTACTGTCTGAGCTTCCAGGGAAGCCTGGGAATGATAAGGCCATTGCCTTTTAGTGGATGGGCCTGGACTCATCCCATTTTAGTGTATTCCTTAGGGTTCGGAGCCATAAAACTTGACAACAAAAGTGAAATGATAGATATTTGGCATTGGATGGATTTAATTGGGACTGTAGGGCAGTGGGGGCAATCTGGCTACTTAATTTTCCTCTTAGGAAATATGATAGGCTACAATTTTGTCAATTATAACTTAATAAAATTGAAAAAAATAAGAAAGAAAGAATTTTGACTTACTAATAAGATAGGCAACATCTTTTTCTCATCCTAAGCCTGCAAACATATATAAGCTTACATTCAGCAAGGTCTTATAGCTGGAACAGTTGTACATGCATGCTAAGTCTATTCAGTCGTGTCTAACTCTTTGCTACTCTATGCACTGTACTCGCCAGGCTCCACTGTCCATAGGATCCTCCAGGCAAGAATACTGGAGTGGGTAGCCACGCTCTCCTCTAGGGAATCTTCCAAACTCAGAAATCGAACATGCCTCTCTTACATTTCTTGCATTAGCAGGTGGGGTCTTTACCACTAGCACTAACAAACAGTTGTGCAAGATTTGGATAATGGCTAAGTGTAGAGCAATTGTTTGTTTGCCGTATAGGTGGATTTTGTGTCCATAGATTATAAGGAATTTTCCATTGCTGGGATACACTGAGTCACTCTTACAATTCTAACTGGTTTGGGGTCTTTCAAATTCTTTTTTTTTTTCAAGTCTTTTATTTTATTTTATTTATTTGTTGGCTGCTCTGGGTCTTCATTGCTGTGAGTGGGCTTTCTTTAGTTGCTGCAGGTGGGAGTCACTCCAGTCGGAGTATCTTGGCTTCTCATTGCTGGGTCTCTAGGGCACGCAGACTCAGTTGCCTTGTGGCATGTGGGATCTCCCTGGACCAAAGATTGAATCCATGGATCCTGCACTGGCAGGTGAATTCCTAACCACTGGACTACCAGGGAAGTCCTGAGTCTTTCAAATGTTGGCACTCCTGGCTATTGCGTAGACTTGAAGTTATATAATCCCTGAGCCATCTTGTTTTTTCTCTCTGTTAAAAAAAAATAGGGAGAAAACTCACTTATGAGGTTTCCTGGCATAAAATTAAATATCTTTAAAAAAACCTTGAACATTGCATAGTACATAATAAGTCCTTAGTAAAAGTCTGCTCCCTCTTTTCTTATGTGGTTTGATTCCATATGGAGAGAAGGTCGTCATTCTTCATTTTCATGTTACTCGTTGCTCCATAGATTCCTCACTGATCCAGGAACAGAAATGAACCCTGTCTGAAGGACTTTGCCTCTTTCTACTAGAGAACAAACCTCTCTGCTCACTGACTTCCTATTCTGTTGTTTGTCGTGGTCCCCAGATCACATCCATGTGGAATAATGAAGGCTCACTCTGCAGACACCAGACAAGTCCTGGGATTGATTCCATGTGAGAGCTCCTAACAGAGTGGAGTGTGTTAAAAAGCTAAAGAACAGATTTAAAAAAGCCTAAAATCCTTAGAATCTCAGCTTCAGATCCTGGCAGGATTGAATTAGCTTTTTTTTCCTCTGGAGTAGTTAAACTTAGTTTCGTGTGTTTTGTCTGAGTACTGCGTGTGGGAGTGGGAATGTATATCACTCAGATGGAAGCTTTCATCTGTTTCAAGCCTGTATGTATATTAAAACAGCCATGAAATTTTATATGTGCTCAAAGCCTAAAAATATCAGCACAGACCTTAAGAGAATCAGACAGTGGGCTGCAGAAAGATTTAATATTCAGTACTTCTCCTTTCTATTTCTTTTTGCATCATTTTAGTAAAAAGTTGGGTTGACAGGAGCTCCAAAAATGGACTCTGAAAACTGAGCAATTGTCCACTTTAATGCATTCTATTAAAATGACAATTACAAATACATTACAATAAAACAAAACCACAACCTTTTTCTCAATAGCAGGGATTTAGGGCTCAATTTGTCCAAATGAGAGCCTTAAATCTTTTTACTTAGTTTCTTGTTTTTGCTGTTTTTGTTTTTTTTTAAACAACTCCAGCAGTGTTGCCAACATAATCTTGAATTTCTTTAAAAAACAACAGAGAACAAGAGAAGGAAATAAGGATGCCTCAGGGGAATAAATGGCATCTGTGGATGGGAGTCTACCTTGAAAACGGATGTTTAAGGTCTTACATTGAGGTTATGTTCCTATATTTCAGAGTTCTATGTCATTGGTACTTTAAGTGATTTATCAAGCTCAAGGTGCCATTTTTTTTTTTTTTTGCTAAAGAGCAGTGTGTCTGTCAATCTTCTAAAGCAATAAAATTGCTTTATCAAATAGAACTGACTGAATATTTTCACCAGAACAGGATTCCAATACACAGGAGAGCCGCTGTTTTCCCATCCAAGACATCCTAAAGTTATCTGTAAAGGAGACTTTGGCCCCAGGACAATGCCTCAACCACCAAAGGACCTGTAGGTATGCCATTGAATTCATCCATCCCTTTGCTCCACGATCCTGAAAAAAATGTGCTTCTGCTGTACTCAACCCCACCCTCACCTCTTCCCCTTCCATCCACTCCTCCACATGAAAGTAAGAGCTAGAACATATGAAGACCTATTTTTGGTAAATGTCATGGTTTTTCACATCACTGAGTAAGCATGAAAATTTCTCTCTAAATATTTGAATCACTTCATTTATAGTCAAAGACACTTTCTCAAAATGAACATTTTAAAGCCAACCAATTTGACTATACATCTGGGTTTGAACCTAAGAAAGGCAGAAAGACTATAGTTGATCAAACTAATTTGTATTACTATTCTTATCTGGTGGTCTCACTTTGAGGAAACCACAAAGATGTCATTTTGGGAAGTCGCAGCTTTAGGGGTGGGGCTGAGTTAGAGGTGTTGGTCTTCTGGTGGTCACTGATTGTATAACACACAACATAAAATTGTGGAAAAGATTTTTAGTGCATTTTTCTTCTTAACACATTTGCTTTTTTCAGAGTAGTAATTTTGAATTATGACAATTTTGAAAGAATGAATGCAGTGTGACATCAAATGAAGAACAAACGACTAAATTTGAGAATTAAAATAAACTCAGACCAGGGCCTATGTATGCTGTTTTTTCAGTTTTGTTGCATTGTGCAAATTGCATAACAATATGGTGTCAATTCTTTCTCCATCAAATTAAGAATTGGTTTAGACCAGAATTCTCAAAATTTGTACTGTAGACTCATGAAATTGTCTGTAGAGGTAAAATTATAAAATAAAATAAATTGAGAATGCTACGTACTATACCCTCCAAACTTACATTAGCATGGTAAAGGCTGTGGAAGATTCTGCAGTTAATGGTCCCAGCTATACTTTGTACAGTATTTTCCAAAAAATTTTTTCTAGTGACACATCTTAAAATATTTTGGGAACAGAGTATAACAAATATCTTTAGGAAACTCTGAATTCAATAATCTCTGACAACCTTTCCAGCTAACGTTCAATTATACCAGTTACTCTGCTTTTGTTATTTTTTAATATTTTGCCAATAGGAGAGTGTTTCTTTGTTCATTGTTGGTAATTTCTCAGATAAAGAATAACAAGAGATGAAATAATTTAGTTGCCTAAGGATTCATTAGAATGAGTCATTGGTCCCTCTGCCTCATTTAAGGTACTTTCCAGTATTAAAGTTCATGATTTTAAGATTCTAATTTGAGATCAGGGACAGTTCTTCCTATAAGAAAAATTAATTATATTTTTTACCTTCTAGAAAGCCTTATGTTACTTCATACACCTATTAGGGTACACAAATGTTTACTCCCCCCCAGCCCAAATTATCATTTCAACACAAGAATAAGTTTATCTACAAGCAACAGGGACATTTTGTCACCGTGTGGCTAGTACTTTCAATGTTTATGAAAAAGCCTTTTTCTTATTACATAATACCTTTAATTAAATTTTAAATTATATGTTGGTACAAATTTACACAGGCATTAAAATCTCTGGTTACTCTTCAGGAAATTATATCAAAATATAGGTACTGTTGATTTTACTCATTTTTTGAACACTTTTTTGGGTCAAATAATCTATGTCTTTTGTTCAGAGAAAAGAGCAGGAAAGAGTGCATGCCTGAATCTTTAAATAGATGTTCAAGTTCATTTATAAAGAGGATAATCTTTGTTTTAAAATATTGCATCCTCATCACTTACAGTTTCTTTCCTTCATCAAAGTAGTTTAAGATGTATTATTTTGGTTAAAAAAAAAATGCTTCCAACAGTTCCAGCATCCAAAAAAAAAAAAAAAAAAACCCCAAAACGTACCTTGTGTTTTATTTACCATAAAAAAAATTGTTGAAATATTTTCCAATTACTTCTTCTCTAGTTGATCACTCTTTCTTCAGTTTGACATGAAGGGTGGTAAAATACACCCAGTACCCACAAGGTGGCATGGCCTTCTTGTGTAATTCAGTTTCATTTGGTTTATTTCTACTTTAGCTGCTGCTCTATTATAGATTCTCTTTTATTAATGTTTTGAATTTCACTTTATAGTTTTATTTTTCCATGCTTTCAGCTCATGTACAGAGCTTCAGTTTCCAGAGTAAGACATATTTTTCACAAATAGAGACATTCAAGTAAAACTCTTCAGTCTTTTCTAATTGTTTCAGTCCACTTTGGAGCTGAATTTAAATTATTTGGCTTTGTATAATGCTTAATGCTTATCATAATGCTAGTGATTGCTAGGCACTCAATGCTGTGGAATTTCATGACTTGCCTTATGGGGGAAAGTATTCAAATACTCAATATCAGCAGAATAATTCCTGGATACTTTTAAATATTTTACTTGCTGGTGAAAAAAATCTGCCCGATTGCCCAGTAAGTAACTGTTGTCTTATCGTATTACAAAAATAAGTTATGGATTAGGATGAAATTTCCATCCTATGTCAATTGTAAGCAAGGTCTGGTTAATCCAATTTATCTGTGTACTTTTTTCCCCAGTAAACATTTGTGGATGCTCTGTTTATACCCAACACTGAACTAACTGCTAAAGAACATGCGAGAATGCATAGGACGCAGATAAGTGGGTAAATACATAATTGCGATAGTGTAATAGTCATATAGTCATTTGTTCTTCCTACAAATATTTATTGAGCTTTACCTGTGTGTCTAGTGTTACGGATGATGAGTAGTGATATAATAGAAATTTTACATGAGAGTGGGGAAGATAATGAACTAATAAGACGAGTGAAATACACAGTAACATTGAAAATAATAGGTGCTAGAGCTCAGCTCGGTGCTCTGTGATGACCTAGAGGTGTGGTTTGGGGGTGATGGGGTGGGAGAGGGGCTCAGAAGAGAGGGGATACGTGTATACATGTAGCTGATTCACACTGTGATACAGCAGAAACTAACCCCGCACTGTAAAGCAATTTTACTCCAATTTTTAGACATTTTAAAAGTACAGACAAAAGTAAAGCAGAGACAAGGCCAGGATTGGGAGGAAGGAGAGTGGCTAGACTTTGTGCAGTCGGGGAAGGCCTCTCTAAGAAGACAGACTTTGCACAAGGGTTAGAGAAGGTACAGAAGTGAGCGGTGTAGTTATCTTGGGGAAGAACGCCTCGGCAGTAGGGACAGCAAATACAAAGGCTCTGACATGGGAGCGAGTCACTGCTGGAAGGTTGCGACCTCAGGGTCTCGTGTGAAATGAGATGGCAGCAAACTGGAGTGAGAGACCCCTTGGGGGAAGCTAATGAGGACTCTGCAGAAGAAGGGAAGTTTCCACAGGACCAAGGGAAGACAGTGGCGCTCCTGCTAGAGAGAACAGCAGGAGCAAAGCCGTGGAGGCATAAAAGCTAATGATGTGCTTATCTGAGAAGCAAAAAGAAAAAAAAAAGAAATGGGGATTGGGACCCACATGCGATCACAGTCTTGTATGTACAACTTCATTTTATGTCTCTTTGGGAAAAACAAAAAAAAATGATTTTTCCAGATTCATTTTGTGGGGGAAAAAAAAGGCTCAGCATTTTAATTGAGGCAAATCATGAAAAAAATTTAACTGACCATATATGTGCAGTCATCTTAACCAGTAATATGATTCTACTTTCCATTCCAGAGAAATATGTGATATTGGGAAACCCATAGCTTTGGGATTAGGAAACCTTGAGTTCAAAATGCCTAAGATGACAGATAGGAAAACTGAGCACCCTATATTTTCTGAATGCCGCTTCTGCTTTTGAGATAAGGCTCCCCGTCTGCAGTGTCTACCTTGGAATGTACAAAATTTTAGATACCAGAGATCCGGACAGTGGATAGGGTAAGTCTCTTTTATGAGAGATTTCACCAGAGCTCATGAGATTCTACCTGATGACTTTTTCCAGGTTTTAAACCTTTAGTAGGGCTCAGTAATGGAAAACTGTCCCTTGATTGTTCTGGAAAATCAGAATCTGACACTCTCAACTGAAACTAAATGAACTTACACTTTTGTCACTACAGTTATCTTTTCCTTTTTTTTTAAGACAAAATGGTGGGTTTGGAGAACTATCATAATAACTTTAGGTGTGCAAGCTGCCTTTTATTTTTCTAGAATTCAACTTAATTTCTACTTTCAGACATCACTAGCATGACAGAAAACTTAACTCTGGGACTTTAAAAAAATTTATTGAAATTCAGTTGATGTACAATATTGTTAATTTCTGCTGGATAGCAAAGTGACTCAGTTATACATACATTCTTTCTCATGTTCTTTTCCATTCTGGTTTATCACAAGACATTGAATATAGGTCCCTGTGCTATATAATAGGACCTTGTCATTTATCCAACTTCGGGACTTTTTTTTTTTGATGGGGTGAGTATAGTTGCTTTACGATGCTGTGTTAGTTTCTGCCATACAACGCAGTGATTCAGCTCTATGGATCTCCCTCCTACTCACCCTCCCATCCCACCCCTCTAGGTCTTCACAGAGCACCACGCTGAACTTCCCGTGCTGTTCAGCGGCTTCCCACTAGCTATCTTTTTACATATGGCAGTGCGCATACATCAACCCGTCTCCCTTCATCCCACCCTCCTCCCGCCCCTGTGCCCACACATCCTTTCTCTAGGTCTGCATCTTTATTCCTGCCCCGTAAATAGGTTCACCTGTACCATTTTTCAAGATTCCACATATATGCGTTAACATACAGTGTATGTTTTTCCCTTTCTGACTTACTTCACTTTGTATGACAGACTCTAGGCCCATCTCTCCATTGCAGAGACTCTTCTCTACAATGACCCAATTTTGTTCCTTTTAATGGCTGAATAATGGGACCCTTCCTTCCTGAAGTTGTGCCAAGTGTTCGCAAAGGTCAGGATGAAGTCCAAGGCCCTTTGGGGGGCGGAGTCTGCTCCATACAGACCCCCATGAGGACCCTGTCAACCCTCGGTCCTTGAGACACCTTCAGGCCCGTGGCTCCCCTGCTGGCTGGGTGACACTTTTGAGAGGCAGGAAGTAGCTGCTGCTTCCTTGGCTTGCTAAAGCCAGAAAAGTCCTGGCTGGGCCACCCTTTGTCCCATATGCCTGAATGCTAATTCCCTGCCCAGGTTCATGTTATCTCTCCCTGGCTCTGCCTTTTAACACAGTCTCAGCCACTCTCCCCCCAGGGCTAACTTGTCCCCTCTGTGTTTCCTCCCTACAACCCCAAAGAAACCCTTCCAAAGTCCTTCCAAAGTCTAGAAGGGAAATCTTTCTGCCACTGTGTTTTCTTCACCCGCTGACCTAATATCCTGATATCCTAATACAGTGATGGACAAGGAAGCCTGGCCTGCTGCAGTCCATGGAGTTGCAAAGAATTGCAGACGACTGAGTGACAGCTGAACTGAACTGAATACCCTAACATCCACCCACATACTCCTAGGAGCGGGGCTCTAGGATGATCAGAAGATGTTTTCTGTCCCCTTGTGTAGCCCTTCTGACCTAGGGCCCTGTGGTTTGTTTTCTGCTCTAACCACTGGAGGGAAAGGGAGAAAGATCAGAAGAGGAAAGAACTTACTACTTGATGAATGTTCACATAATTTCGCACACATAAAAGCTGTGTCCAGGCTCTGTCCTCGCTCATCTGTGTCTCTGGGTTATCTGTGGGAAGGCAAGGTGACAGGCCTCCACTGGGCAACTTCAGGCCCCTACTTTAACCTTATAGCACTAGTTTCTTGATATATAAACAATGGACACTCAGCCTGCAATTCCTAACTGGGAGATGATTGTGAGGCTTAATTGAGGCAACTGTGTGAAGGTGGTTAATCGCTATGCACGTGACACGTCTCTACAGTATCAAAAGCACTCTTCTGTTTTTAGTTCAAAATTCTGTTTTGAATTGCAAGAGGCCTGTGTTTTCAAAAGTAGGAAACCTAGTGAAGAAACAGAATTGTTAGACTTATGAGGTAAAGTGTCCACTTGTGTTCTTTTTCCCAGGAAGAGTAGAATCTCACCCTTAGAGATTCCTCTCTTGGCCCACACCATAAATCTCTTCTGTTCTGCTCATTTCCTTCTTAACACCAGTGGTAGGTTAGGGTGAGCATAGTTTTGCCCACATCTCTGAGAATATTGTAGCATCCTCAGGGCTGATGGATGGGATAGTATGTGGAGGTTTCTGAGCCAGCTTTGGTTGAGAAGAGGAGACGGGGCCGGCAACTCTCGGCTTACATCTGCCTTGGGACTCAGCACAGCACTGAGTAGAAGGCAACTTCCTCAAATAATAGGTCCCCGGAAGGTGGTATCCTAGACATCTGAACAGATGCCCACACGGTGGGACAGCAGGAGTCAGGCAGCAGAAGCAGGCCTGACATCCCCAGCAGGTCAGCTGCTGGCCCTTCCCTGTCTGCGGTCCACTTGTCCCCCAACAGATACACGAACACGAACACACACACACACGCACATACACACACACACACACACACACACACACAGGCCAAGTCCTGTGACCTGCAACAACAGATGAGCACTTTTGCAGACAACTAACCTCCACATATATGAACCTATGATACTTATGGTACAATTTAATTCTAGTCTTATTCCTTTTTTTTTTTTCGCTGCTATTTAATTACTTCTCCCTTCTATCATTTCTCTGAGTGAGAAAGACATCAGATAATAGTTGTGAGTTTCTCTGTGTAGAAAAAAAATAATCCTTATTTATAATTATTATTTGGCAATATTATTTACACACTTATTGATGGAGCACTTACTGTTCGTTCAGCCTTGTGCTGAGCTTTTTACAGTCACTATGCCATTTGATTCTTGCAAAAGCCTCCGAGGTAAGATTGTCGTTCAGTTGCTCACTCATGTTCAACCCTTTGCGACTCCATGGACTGCAGCATCCCAAGGCTTCCCTGAGGTAAGGTTACTATGTCTTTATTTTACTTATGGATGATGAAGCCAGAGCTTAACAAAAATGAGCCTTTCTCCACAGTCATGCTGTCAGTGGCAAAATGACTACTTTGACCCTAGGTGTTCTGATTTTAGAACTTCTGCTCTGAAACACGACGGTTGATGGATAAGGAAACTAGGACATAGAAAGATTCTGGGAATTCACTGAAAGTTCCCAAATGAAGAGTTGCTCATTCAAGGTATGTTCTCCTGACCTTCAATCTAGAACTCCACCCCATTTTCTTTGGTCAAGGCCAAACTGAACAGGATAAGTACCAGCTCCACTCAGGGACACATTTGGCTCAGCCTCACTCCATTAGATCACACAACCCTGCTTTCTTTATGATGAATGAGGACACACACCACAAGCTTTCCCTGAAAGAAGAAATACCTCTCTTCTTTCCCCACTTACTTGCCCTGTAGGGTGTCTCCATGGAACCTGAAACAAACATGTTGAGGGTACCACTTCTAAAAACACACAATTGTGGATTCAGTGTCAGAAATACTTATTTATTTCAAATGGGAAATGAAATCATGTCAAATAATAAGTGTCAGGAGGGTAAGTACCACAAATATCTTAAAATCCTTAGAAATCAGGTAATATTTTTCTTAATGAACTATCTGATAACCTCCACAATAGTTTGCTTCCCTCTATTTTTCCCTACATAATCCAGATTGCCTTTTAATT